TTCCCTCTTTGTTTCCTTGAAGTCTAAATTCATCTGTGTTTTGTTATATGATTGATTTCTCGATCTGGGTGTTCGTCATTTAGGGTTTGTTTTAGGCTCTTGATGAAGGATTTGATGTTATGGATTGCAGTTGAAATCAAGTAGRGTGTTTGATGATCAATTCCATGTTCTGTGTTACAATTTTTCTCTAGAAAAACTTGAACCCATTTTGGGGTTTCGGACTTCCAATTCATTCAGTACTAAATCAGGGTTAAAATGGTAATTTGTTGTCATTCAGAGAACAGTTACCAAACAACATTATTTCATTCAGCACTTAATCATTCTGACCCTCTTAACCATTCTGACCACTTAACCATTCTGCACCAAACCATTCAGCAACTGCCAAACAGCCCCTAAACCGAGGACGTCATGTGTTATATTTATAAAATTTTATAAAAGAAAGATCTTATGGGCAACACATCCTATATCAGGGTTGGGTTGCGGTGATGAGAGAAGTTATTATGAAAATCATAAAAAGAGATCATCACCCTTGTACCAATCCCAATTAAATGTCAATACTAATGAGTTGCACCGAAATGCACTGGATCAGTTCTTTCTAAAGAGCAATTCATGAATGAACACAAAATCAAACATGATTAAGGATTCAGATATCTTCTCACGGTTCTTATTATAACTTTATTTTCACATCATCATTTGCCTCCTATGTCATTTGCTTCTATAGCATTTGATTTTCATAGGTCAAACTTATTTTATTCTGACTCTTGGAAATAGGCATAGCCAACTTAAAAAAAGTTATAGTTCTAGAATAGTTTGTTTTTATTTGAAAAATACAGTTTAAAAATATATTTAATTAATAAAATTACAATTTATCATTAGTTATATAAATATAAATTTTGTTTGGATCTCATAATTATCTATATAGAGGCATATTAGGGTGTGAGATTGTTTTTTTTTACAAAAAACATTTATTAACTTATTATAAGTTAGAAGAGTTTAACTTATTCAAAAACTTGTTATTATCGGTTTGGTATCGATGTGAGTTGTTTATCCAAACACTCAAAGACGCTTATTACCGATACCAAAACGGAATAAGTCGATAAATTATTTTTATAAATAATTCTAAACATGTTATAAAAAAATATTTAATCTTTATTTAGATAAAAAAAAAACATGTTTTATTACTATTTTTTTAGTATTAATTTAAACTTTTAAATAAAAATTTAAAAAAAAGAAGGAAACAACGACGAAATAAAAGTTAATTCAGGAATGAAGTAGGGTTGTTGACCCATTCCAGACTGGTTCCTGAGACGGTATTGAAAATTTCACCAGCATTTATGATACTACCTAATTTCATCTTCAACCCATTACTTATTAAAGTATTACAATTAGGTCCCTTGTAGTTTGCTTTTTTCAATTTTGATTTTTAAATTCAATTTTACTAGTAGGGTACTCGCGTAATGCAGCGAGATACATCTTGATTTTAATATTTTATTTTTTTATCTTAGTTGATTTTATAATATGATTTTATGCGATTTTGAAAAAGTGATGATGTTTTTATTTTTCGATAAAATATAAATTTGAAGATATCATAAAAATTTGACAAAAATATATCAATATTAGTACAAATTAACTATTTAAAATTCCTCATTTTTTGTGTAATTTTTTAATTTAATTTTTTTATTATAATTTAATTTAGGTTCAATAAAGTAGTAATTTATATTTGGTTTAATAATATAATTTTCTTATAAAGATAATAATTAATTATTTTGTTAGAACTCGATAATTATCGTAATTATATTTTATATTTTAAAATGAGATGTTTATCCTCTATTCGCTTATTTTTATTCGCAGTTAGTTACACAAATTCAAACATGGAGCTTTAATAAGTTGTATTTATATATAATTTACTTGTAATCTTGAATTTCAAGTAATATGCATCAGTATACAGTACTTCAGCATAAAAATAGTATTTAAATTTTTTTGTCAAATGTTTTATATAACATAGATTCACTGACTAGGCCTAAATAGTTACAGACTGATTGGGACAGGTTAACAATTATGATAAGTTATGATTATCTAAATGTATATGATTGGTTAAAGATCTATTATACATATACATTATTATGTAGGGTTAGATTTCGATGAGAAGAGAATATAAGTTATGGTGAAAAGCGTAAGAAAAAATCTTCATCTTTGATCGATCCCAATTGAATGTCAACACTAATGAGATGCACCAGATCAATTCCCTTTAAAAAAAATCATGAATGGGCATGAGATTAAAGGTGATCATTAGTTCAGAACTCTTCATACGCTTCTAATCATAACTTAATTCTATTCTAAAGCACAATTCATAGATGAAAATGAAATTAAAAATGATCAATAATTCAGATTTCTTCGTCCGCTTCTAATCATAAACTTCCATTCTCATGTTATTCTTATTCTTACCATACATACGTATACTAACATATATAGCACATATATTATATAGGCGCATACATAAGTAGTGCATTATACATATGCATAAATGCATATTTAATAGATAAGTAACTTCTTAATTTGTCGGATCTTAAGGGTGTTTAGGATTGCTTATAAAAAAACTTATTTACTTATTACGGTGCGGCACCGGTAACAAGCACTTTTGAGTTTTTGGATAAACAACTTATACCGGTATCAAACCGGCAATATAGAGTTTTTGAAGAAGTTAAACCCTTCTGACTTATAATAAGTTGATAGATGCTTTTATAGAAAAATATAAGTTATTTCAAATAAGCAATCCTAAACACCCTCTTAGATCCAATTTAAACCTTAAAATTTAGATAAAAAATAATATCTAATTTAATTTTAGAAAAAAATTCTCTCTCCTCTATCTTATCTTCTCTCTCATCTCTTTTATTTTTCTCTCTCCATAATATATACATACAAACACAATTAAATATACAAACAAGATAAACAAACAGCGAACATTTTTTAGAAATAGTATTATAATTCATGAATACATTGTGAACACACTATAAATCTACAAGATCTGGTATAACTTATAATATTAACTAAAGCAACAAAACTAATCTAACCCTATCACTTCTGAACATATTGTAAGCATTCTAGTACAAAAAATATTAAGGTTGTTGTAATTGTGTTCATAGTATGTTCAACTTGTGTACATATGCAATTATGAATGTTTGTCGTATATGTTACAGGAGAGGAGAGATATTTATGTAATTTGAAATTTTCTTAAAAAATATATTAATTGTCTTAAAATTAGTGGCTTAGGATGAAAAACACACACAGAGACATACACATGCACACTATACACATATACTAATTAAAATAGAAAAATGAATCAGGTTCAGACTAGGGGTAGTTAATGTCATCCCTGACCCCACTTCGTGTATGAAAATAAATCTCCATCCCCATCCCCACCTCCGAGGAATCCCCGCCCATTATGGTCGGGTAACGACCCCAAGGGGTAAAAAATTTCCATCTCTAGGTGCATCGGCTCCAACGAGGATGGGGAATCTACGAAAAACCGGAGACTGAAAACGGGGATCGGGATGGGGATCCTTGAAAGTTTAAAACCAGGGATGGAACGGGGACATGTAACGTAGTGCATCCCCATATATTAAATATATTATTTATGAAAAACTAGATTTAATATCTTTTAGTATAGAAATAGTGTTTTGACAATTCTTCTTATATACTTTTTTACTGAGTTGTCTTACTTTTTTTAGATAAAAAACGTTGAAAGTCGAAAGCATTTGATCAAACAGTTACGTATGATATTGTGATTTTGTTCACATGTGAATATTTGATGCTGCATAAAAGAAAATTTTGAAAATATGTAAGATTTAAACATGTACCATTATCGATCAAGTGTGATGTTTAACACTTTTAATTTAAAATATCTCACATTAACGGAGAAAAAATCTCGATTCCCTATTGAGGACGGGGATAGAGATGTGACCATATTTCTCGATGGGAATGGGGACAGAGACAGAAGGGAGATTGGGGTCGGGGATGGGGCGCAAACATCCCCGCCCCATTACAATTCCTATACTCATCCAGATCTTAGTGTTATGATTAAATTGTTAAATTTTAGGTTGATAAAGATATCAACATAATTTGCATGAAGAGGTCTGTGTTATTTTTTACGATCATCCCAATTATAACAATCATATGAGTTTAGGAAATACTACACAATACAATTGTGATCCTTTACAAGAACATATGAGATCAACTACACAAGTAAACATATAAAAAAATTTAAGTACGTTTATTACCATGTCATCATTAAAACACTCATACGTGATTATGCACATGATCATAGTATTGGTATGTCATGTTATACATAATCACATGTGATTGTGTACAATATAACATGCTTGTTATGTGCATCAAATACATGATTTTATGTGATGTGCATGTGATCATATATATAAATATGACAAGTATCAAGAATCTTATCTGGTAAGAGTGATGCAAGATCCGAGAGTCTTATCCAGTAAGTGATGGTGACGACTCTTACCACAGTTAACGCCTATCGGGTAAATTGTTGTATACAATGACGTTTTTGTTTACTAAAATCTTATCCTGTAAGTAAATGACAATGTTAAATTTTATTGGTAAATATTTACAGGATAAGTGTTTGTAAACGGTTCCTAAGATAAAAAAAAAAATACTATAACGGGTGGCTTATGATTTTGGGGTCAAGATTCCAAGTTGACAATAACTTGCAACTCTATTAAACAAGGATAAAGATTTTTGTGTCAAAATTAAAAAAAGAAGAAAATTAGGTGTCAAAAATGCAAATGAAGTTAAAAGAGAGGAATCCAAATGAAAATATAAAACAAAAAGGGGGTCAAAGTAAGGGGAAAGAGGGGAGAAAGGATCCAGACAGCGTTCTCCACATTATAAAACCCTCTGATTCCTTCCTCCTTTCCAAAGCAAATTGAACACCATCGGATCCCAACAAACTTCTCCCATATAATTCTCTTTCGGATCTGATCAGACCCTTCTTCTCCGGTGTTTTGGATTGAATTTCAGTTTATGATAATGGGGAAATACGTAGAGATACTGGATTTAGGGGTGAGAATGGTGGCTAGATTTCATTCCCACTGTCCTCAAACTGCTCGTATGTACTATCATCCTCCTTCAAACTCCGTCGATAGCAGCTGTAGATCTCACGCGCCACCGGCAATCGAAGGATCGGCCAAAATGAGGCGGTTTCAGGCGAGCATGAGCTTCAATACTAGAGAAATTGTCTTTTCGTCGGCGATGTAAATGTGTAGGAAGGCGTAGATATTCATTGATTTATACACACTAAACATTTTTGATAAGATAGGAAATTCAGTTATTGATTAATACGAATTAAGGTTTTTGATAATATCCATAGAAATTGGCGAATATGAAATTGTTTAATTCTTATGAAGATTCAGTTAGTTTGGTTGATATCTGCTCATACTGAATTTTGCTTATTTGACCTCTTCTTCGTCGGTTCCCCCACCCCACCCACGTTTCTTTTTCTATTTATAAATTTTTAATTTAAAATAGGGTATTTGACCAAAAATCCGATTTGATTTCGAATATGAAAACCAAGTCCATAATTTTGAGTTTCGGATTTCAGGTTACTATGAAATCTGTCCAACTCAACCCGATAATAACCCAATAAAACCTAACCCATTAAATTGTTAAATCGTCAAACCATTAACCGGAAGAGTTGAAATTGGGTTAGCCTAACTCAATCTAATATAAGCCACCATATGTATATATATATATATATATGTATATATATATATATATATAGAGATAGAGAGAGAGAGAGAGAGAGAGAGATGATTATTATACAATCATTTACATTTGTTCAACCAATACAACCCAATCTCAACCATCCATTTAATTTGATTAATATGTGATTTTATAAAAGTTTTGATTGTTTCTTAATATAAAATATTGATCATAATTAATGAACCTTATTCATCTTCTATAAATATTCAAATCATAATAAATGAACTCTCATCATTTCCATAAATATCTCAATTAATTGGGTTGCATTGGTTGTATAAATAGACATGGTTGCATTTGAAATATACCCTATATATATATATATATATATATATATATATATAGACTTGGGATCATGTGAGAACAAGTGTTTTTCGTGAGACCCATAAGACCAATTCTCAACTCTTTGATTAGATTTACAATCGTTAGATCTGAACATTTATAAATGCCACGAGACTTCTCAATAATTACAAAATTGTCACCGTGCAATTTTAGACCGTTAGATCATTAGCTTATAAAGGTTGATCAATGAACATAAATTGGTCTTATGGGTCTCACGAAAAACCTTTGGTCTCACATGAACCCANATAAAGGTTGATCAATGAACATAAATTGGTCTTATGGGTCTCACGAAAAACCTTTGGTCTCACATGAACCCAACCCTATATATATATATATATATATATATATATATATATATATATATATATGCGGGATCAAATGAAAACCGTTTAATTCTTATAAACCGTGTAAACTAATTTCGACAAATAGAAAAATTCTTTTTTTCTTAATTAAATTTAATCATTAAGGATAGATCTGTCATTTACATTGTTAATAATTAAATATGGAAACTATTAATAAATCTTAATTAAGGTAACATAATAAAGAAAATTTTATAAATAGTAATATTTAAATATTTATTAAATTAAAATTTTAAAAATTGAATATTGTTATTTGGTTTGTCGGTTTATTAGTGGTAATAATATGAAAATCGAAATTATTATATTCATTAATCCACGAAATCAGTAACTAATTCAAACAAAGATTCATGAACCGGTAAAAATATAATCAGCTGTAAAACAGATTCATGTTAGATTTGTTCATGAAAACGTTCATTGAGGAGCTTGTTTTATGAAACGTATGCAGATTGGTTCGTGAAAACGTTTATTGAGGAGCTTGTTTTATGAAATTTTTGGGGATGAACTGGTTACATAATATAATGTTCTTGCATAATCTTGTTTTCTTATCAACAATATTTGAGGAAATTGTTTTTCTTTTTTGGATGATTTTGTTCACTTAATGGTTAACAAAGTATGTAATGGTAAATGCATTGACTCTATAAAACGTGTTCGTATTGGAAGAAATTGGCTGATGAAATGAGTGCATGAAGAAAGTGAAACCATTTCATAATTGATAAGAAAATGCTGTATAATTAGCGAACAGTGAAGAAATTTCATTATTATGATGAAATGGGTGCATAACGACAGAGAAACCATTTCATAATTGTTAAGAACATGTTGTTTAATTAGCAAACAGTAAAACCATTTCATAATTAGACTGAAACAGATCAATTTCATAAATGAATGCTAATTTTATAACTTGGATGTAAATTTCGTAATGATGATGAATAAATATGTGAAATTACATAAATTTATATACAATTTCAACATTATAATATTATGAGGGGTAGAATAGACAACAAACAATTAAACAAATTCAGACTTATCAGTTTACATTATAATATAAATCTTAATTTTTTCTAACCGGCCAGTTGCATTAAATTTTTATTCCTACATTGGACGCTTTGGACAATATCATACCGGATTTCTTACATATTATTTTACCTTTTTTTATTAACCTGGATATCCGACCCGCTATGCAAGCCGATTAATCTCAGGGCGACCACCTGCTTTGCAGATAGCCCAGAGTCATCGCATTTGAACCTCCGTAGCCACAAGGAGATTTTTGTTCCTCCTTGGATTTGAACCTGAAACCTCCTGGTACTTTTGACCTTTGGAGCCAATCTCAAACCAATCAGGCACCAATCTTATGGTTTATTATTTTACTTTGAAGTATATTCAAACATAAATTTTTAGATTTTAATTTTTAATTACTTGTTGCAAAAAATATAAACCACTAATGCATACATCTCTCTAAAATATAAAAACAACAAATTTTATTGATTTGAAAGTCGCGTTTCCAGCAGTTCCATTTAAAAATGTCTGATCAATCAACTATATTAACCTTAAATTATATACCATTCGACTTGCAATTAGAAAACATACGATATCCAGACATTAACAGGGACAGAACATACTAAAACATATAAAATGATTTCCATTCGAGTCCTCGACTTCATAATCAAGATGTTTTGCGCAACATCGCGCACGTGTATATAACTACTATATATTTTTAAAGTAAAATATAAAATGACTAAAATGTCCTCAAAATAAGTGTAATTTAAAAATAAAATAAAAGGAATTTGTAAAAAGACAATGTTACCCTTGACTTAGCAGGGACTCAATCTAAAATAAAAATAAAATCATGATAATCATACGTGTAATTATTTTGTTTGGGGACCTGATAGAAAATTTTCAATAACCACAGGGACTAAATTTGTAATTTACTCTAAAAGAATATGTTAAATCTGAACGGTTTATTTGGAGGTTTACTTATGATTGAAGTCCACCAAACGGTTACCAAAAAAGGCGGGATAAGAAACGAGGATTAGGCTTGACCGTTTGATCGTTTTCTTTTTTACTTTTTTGAATATTTGGTTTTATCGTTTTCTGAATTACGGATGGCTTGACATCCAATCGACGCCGGTGAATTCAGCTCTATCGACAAAAATGGTGAATCCTTTAGTTGAAAGAGCCACAAGCGACATGCTTGTTGGTCCTGATTGGTCGATGAACATTGGTATCTGTGATTCATGCAATCGCGACCCTGGGTACGACTTTTCTGCAATTGATTCCTTTGTTATGTCCTTATTATGGAATGTCAGTTTTCGTTTATGTATCATCAGTAATTTGAGAAATGGAATTAACTGGACTAAGGCTTTAGGTACAATTGGAAATCATTAGGGTTTCTTTTCTGTTTTTGATTCTATAATTTGCAGTATCATTACAAAAATTGGGTTTGTGGACTTGAAGTTGGAGTGTATTTACGGATTTTTCGAGCTGTTTGAACACTGAAAAAGGGCCAGTATTCTTCCAATAATATTTCTTATCATTTGTAGTTATTACTATATGTTTTGTTCCTTTGTTCCTGTTACATTTAATCTCAAGTAGAACTTAGAAGTTCTTTTAAGGGGTTTCAGAGTGTAGTTCATTCTTGCTGTTTAACCTTAATAAATTTGGTGTGAATTTATCAACATGATTGAAGACAGTTGTAGCCAAACCTATTGAGGCCTGGTGTGCTTGGCCAATCAAACAATATTTTATTTGAATTTCTTATGTGGGGTATTTTTGGTGACCGAAATGCTTGGATGGAGATTAGAGAACATGATGGGAACATATGCATGACTGTAGACATCATCGTGTGCTTTTGTTTACCTGATATAGTGAGCTTAGTCATTCTTATGTTGGCAATACTATTGAAGCATTTGTTGGTCTTACTATGTAGAAAGGGATCAAGATGTGTTTGAGCTTGTTTGGAGAAGCAAATAAGGGTCTGCAACTCTAGATTTCATGCTCAATATGGTGTCTTTCTAAGGTTGGTGCAGTGAGGTTTGGGGTCGGAGGTGAATTTTCGCTGTAAAGAAGGGAAGGATGGTGATGGATCTGGACTTAAATGTGTTATGAATAATTAATCCTTAGAGATGGGAGAAATATTATCCAAACGCCGATCCGTAAAATCTCTCTATTCATTTTCTTATACAATTCCTATAATTATGTGATTTGGTTCCAAAACAAGAGCTAATATGTGGGCCACTATGAGAATGCTTACACCCTTCCAACCATCTTGGCTACAAAGTTTATGTTTCCCATTCAACTCAGGTGCTCTCATTCCAGTATAATTAGCAACATGCGCTTAGCTTTTCTGGGCAACTAGAGGGTCTCCGGGTTGGCATTGGTGTCTGTATACAAAGGGAGGCAAATCTAAGTGCAGATGATTTTTTCTCTCTAAACACAAAATCCCTCAAGTTTGGCATACTCTCCAAGCAGTCTTATTATCTTTCATGGACGCACACATAGGTAGGCCATCCTCTCTTATCGATGATTGATTCTTATGCTGAGGTGGATCGACTATCAACACTACCCTTTGTATTCATTCTTTTGCATGTTAGTCTTGGAATATCCACAATGTTGATTTACAAGGCACATTATCATTTGGGGCTAGGAAGGCTCTTGGAGCCCTCTATCGAAAGAAACCCACAATCCAAACACTCACCGAATGTTGAAATGGTGGGAGATGATGGGGGGAGTGGTAGACCAGTAGAGAAGGGACTAAATCAACATGATCGGTGCATATGAAAATTCTCGCAATATGATTCCCTACGATGTGGTTAATGTGCCCATAAGGCGTTTAATGGTAATCATGTTGCATACAATGTCGCTTTCGAGGCATGCATGCTCTATGTAGTATCATGTTGACCTTTTGGCGTTGGTTGCAACCTTACATGGGTTCATAGTCTGAACGCCTTTTGCATTGAAGTGAATAAGACAAAGATCAGTTCAGCAGTTAGACATTAGACTTGGCTTCAACTTTAAGATCTAAATCTGTCAAAGGAGCCTTAGCTACTAAGATTTATTTGCTGCAGGCCTTGCTCCATCAGCTGCTTAATCTTTGATCCCTCGGCTTCTACCAGATTCTTCAGTTGGTCCTTGAGCTCATTCTTACCAACTGATACTGATATCAATGATGTGATGATCAGTCTGTGGCCTGATTCAACTATCTCATAATTATTCCAAATCTTTTAACATACATTTTGTCATTCATCAAATCTAATATTTTCATACCTTACACAGTACCTTCTGCACCAGCATTCGACCAAGCTACTGCCTCCTCATAATCTTGCTCACTATCTTGACCATATATTATCATTCTATCAAGATGTACCAGACTACCTTAAGGTGCTAGGAAAGTAAGTATATAAATGTCAAACTTTGTTAAATGCCAAAACAATGAGGAACGACACGATCGACAGGTTACCAATCAAAACGGTTACCAAATATTATAAGATCAACAGGTTACCAACCAAAACGGGAAAAAAATAGGAAAATTTGAAAATTTGTTACACCAACACCAAATAGGAACCAAGGAATTTCGTTGCATATTCCCTTTATATTTTTATATATCCTTTTTCATGAAGTGATGTTAATATTGTTCTATGTTCTTCAGGCAAGCAAAGGATGTGGTTAAAGGAATAAAAAAGCGTCTTGGAAGCAAGAATGTTAAAGTTCAACTTCTTGCTTTAACAGTAAGCACAATTACAACTACTTATATTCTTATATCTTTTTTTGGATAAAGATATGTTCTTTTATCTATGCAGGTGTTAATAAGGCTTTAGATAACCTATATTTAACTACTAGTATACGTAAAGTAGTTCGTGGTAAACACGAGTATCAAATTGTAGGGAATCATGATATTATGCATCAAATAAGGTATAACAACTTTTAAAATGGATAATCAATTATCTAGACCAACAAACATTTAGATTTGGACAATTAAGATGCAAAAGGGGTAAATTTAATATCAATATGTATAATTATTTTCTCATTTTCTTCCATTTTCGACTTCCTGCATGCCTGCATATCACTTACACAAATATCGTTAAAAACATTAATTTCACATGGAAAAGAAATTTAATAAACCTACAATGTACAGGGGTATAACAATGTTCTCATGGAAACTCTATCAAATAGGCAAGTTCACCAAGTTATACCCGTATGTGAACTTCATATCAACTATATTAGTTCCTACATATGCTAGTCACAATGATTTAAACAATGCCTTTTATTAATATATTTCATGACTCTATGCCTTTTAGGCATACACTAATATTGTGAAATATGTGTATGTGTATTATTGCACAATCAGTGGAATTTGGATATATTTTCTTTTGAACGTTGATCATATGCTCATAGCTCGCAAGGATATGTCAGGATACCAACAAGTTGAAAGCTTTGTTGAAGAAAAAATATGAAATGATGGATCTCAGGCAAAGAAAGAAAATTTGTAGGCATGGAGAATGCGTGGGACATAAAGTCTCATGTTTTATGAGGTGGACTCCGTGGAGTACATATAAAAGGTACTTAGATGGTTCAATCTTGTTGGTGCAAAGGTGATTAGCATTCCGCTACATTTCCACGTTAAGATCACGAAAGATGATTGCCTCGTGGATGAGAAACGCAAAGCTGCAGAAAGTTTCATATGCACTTGCAGTTGGAGTTTGATGTATGCGGCAGTTTGTACATGTTCCAACCTTATACATTCGGTTGGTGTAGTTGGCTGATTTATGTCGAATCCAGTAAATCACATTGGACAACCATGAAGATAATTCTTGTGGTATTTGAAAGGAATAACATCTCATGGTTTTTTTTTGATATATCTGATAGTTGTGATCTAGTTGGATATTGTGATTCTGGTTATACAGGGGATCACGTTACATGGAAGTCAAGTTCAAGGTGTGTGTTCACTCTGGGTGGTACAACTATTAGATGGAGATCCCGATTACTAACTACAACAACTTTGTTGACTATTGAGACCAGCTGATAGCTGCTAAAGAAGCTATGCATATGAAATAGCTCTTATACTGTTGGCGTAAATTGTGATAGTCATAGTTCTATACACTTCACCAGCAAACTTTGCATTTAGTTCGAGGATTAAAACATATATAAGTATGGGACTCATTTCTGGTTGCATTGTAAGAGGAAAAAGTTGTGCACTTGATAAAGATTTCTTTAAAATAAAATGCATCAGGTATGTTTATGACATCCCTACCATCGTCGAGATTTGAGTATTGCTCGAATAAGAGTAGTTAAGGTTGTGCTAGTGTCGTAGACGAACTTAGTGGTAGAGGAGATAGTTTGGAGCGTTGTGAAGATTCTTTTGGGGAGATTATTTTGTAAGCAACTTAGTTGCTTTTGGTTTGCACATGTAAGCTTGTTTTGAGTTTGGTTTTTGCGGGAGATGGAAATGCTGAACTCTTCATACTAGAGTGTTTATGGCTTAGTACTTGCACTTTTTGAGGTTTCATTGGTTTTGCTACTTGTTTTTTGCGTTACGTTTGTGAATATGTGCTTCAAAATGGAGTGTTGAAAGTTGATGTTGCAAATATTAGCCCATGACCTAGAGACGCGACTGGAGCTCGCATGGCTAAGTGGCATAATTTTGCGACCTGGTGTCGCGACCTTAGCTCGCTAGGACAAGTTGGATGGAAAAGTTTGTTATATTTTTCAAACCCCTTGTACGTTGATTGCAAGGTGGAGATTTGAAGCTCGCGATGTGGGTAGGACCCTGGACTGGACCACAATTGCCAAATTTGGAACCGGACAACCTCGGCTCACGACCTAATGTCACCAATGCAGAGTTGGCGAAAGGTTTTGACCAATAAAAATGATTTCTAGGTCAAATCTGATTGTACTTTGTTTGATGGGTGCTTTACATTTCCAAATATAACAAGAGCACAAGTTGGAGCATATTTTTATGGACTTACACTATCGCATTTGGATTAGTAATATCTCGATCTCTCTTCTACCTGTGGATGTAACCTGTTGCATCAATAGTGCACCCATGCTAGGTGTTCCTTATTATATGGTTTGACATCATTGTGTATTAAGTGACTGTGCCTGCCATTGCCTTGTTATCGATTGATGATTGTCAATGAATTTTTTATCACGTTGCTAGACTGTTGGTCCCATCTGGATCTACAAGAGTTTGTAGGTAACAATTTGCAGAACGGGGGGGGGGGGGGGG